TGTGCCTGCGGCTGCCACATGCCTGGCCGTGGGTTGGCAGCAGTCAAAGGGTGACGTGAGGGATGGTTACGAGCAGCCGGTCTGAGTCTGGGGCCGGTGTTTCTCCGGGTCAGGCCGGTCTCAGGGCAACTGCATGGGTGAGGGGTCTAACAGCAGTCGTCTCCCTTCGCAGACTGACTTCAAGACAGCTGATATGGATGTGAACACAGATCAGGACATTGAGAAGAATTTGGTGGGTATGGGAGCCCGACAATCAGGTCCAGGCTCTGCCGCTCATGCTCCCAGACTGCCGTTCCCTGGGCAGAGGAGCTGGGGTGTTGCTCTGCCCACAGGGTGTTTTTTCTCATTGAAATACCAGCCTTGGAGTTCTTAAGCTGTCCTCTTTACAGGAGGAAATGCAGTGCTAGCTACAGCTGCAGGCTGTGCCTCCCTCTTATCTTTTCTGACCTAAAGAGCCTGAGCTTTGAAAGCCATTTCACTGTGGTTCTTGGCAGTGGCACCTCCTGGGCTCTTACTGCTGAGCTTTCCTGTCCCTGTGTGTGAGCTCTTGAGCACGAGGGAAGGGGAGGGTTCTCCCTAAATTTCCGCTCTCCGCTGCAGGACAAAATGATGTCCGAGAGGGCTTTGTTGAAGGAGCGCTACCAGGAGGTGTTGGACAAACAGAGGCAAGTGGAGAATCAGCTGCAGGTAGAGCTTAAGCAGCTCCAGCAGCGGAGGGAAGAAGAGATGAAGAACCACCAGGTATTTGGCAAAGATTTTGAAAGAAATATTTTGATAGAAAGATTTTGATGATGCGTGTAATCTCATAATCCCCTCAATGAATCTAAAATAATAATGCATTTAAAAGCAAAACCATTATTTGTGAATTTTGCTCTTTAACTGGATGATGTCTGTTTTACTGTAGGAGATCCTGAAAGCAATTCAGGATGTTACCATCAAGCGAGAAGAGACAAAGAAGAAGATGGAGAAAGAAAAGAAAGAATTCTTGCAGAAAGAGCAGGATCTGAAAGCAGAAATTGAGAAACTCTGTGAGAAGGGCAGAAGGTATTAGTATGGAAAAGAAAGTATTTGTTTTGGGGGGAGAAAGGGTGTTGCTTGGGCCTGATGCATACCTGATTAACTGAAAGAATCACTTTAAACACCATGGAAACAGCGAGTGTTTTGGTGAGCGGTTTAGGACAGACCTGTACGGTTTTGAAGGGATCTACCACCGACAGAGCACCTTTTGTTTGCAGAAGATCTCCCTGTGGATTTTTGGGAAGCAGGTTTTTGCTTTGCCTGTTAGGTGCATGTGTGGACAGCACCTGGCAGGGATAATGTGCAGCTCAGCTCTGTGTGCTGCTGTCTTTCAGAATCCAGAGCCATTCCACGAGAGGCTGGACTGCTCTTTTGCAGTGCTGGGGTGGGGTCTTGTTGGCCTTTCTGAGTTGTTCTCCTCAAAATTTCCCATTTTGGTAGGCAGCCTGACTGTGCCTTACACCGATGGTCTTGAAAGGCCGACTGCTGCCGTCAGGCTTTGCTGTAGGACAGGCTGCGTGCTCTGTGCAAAGAATCTCGCTAGATTCGGGGGGGTCTAACGCGGGCGAGATGCTGTTTGTGAAGATCTGGAGGTGCCTTTGGATGGTGAAGCTGCACTTTGACAGAGCCATTCTGTTGTGTTGTAGAGGTCTGATTTTTTTATCCTGAGGGTTCAATGATTGAGGATAAAGCTCCTTTAGTGATGGTTCCAAGTGCTCAGCCCCTTTCCCCCTGAGTGAACAGTTGCAAAGTGTGTGTTGTCGGAGCAGCACAGCTCCCTGCAGTGGATTCTGGTTCTGTGCCACGGTCTTTGTGCAGTATCATGATACAGCAAAGTTTTTGCTCTGGAGGACGTTAGCGGTTGTTTTCAAATATTTATTGAATGGTGCAGCCTTGCGAGTGTGGTGTTAACGGGGTGCACAGCCGTGCCAATACCTTGTTTAAACTGGGGACCTGCGGTGTTAGCGGCCGGGCGGTGACACCTTTGCTGTGGGTGACTTCATCCATCCTTTTGTGCAGGTTGCTGAAAGAGCAGGAGGAGAAGGAAAACAAGATTGCCTCTCTGATTGCAGAGCAGTCTGATGAAAAGTAAGGCTCTTATCTATTACTGGATTAATGCTGGTAAATACTCTGTTCCTTCCAGTCACTTGCCTTGGAGTCAATCTGATGCCTCTGCAGGGGTAGGCTAGAGGTGCCTGACTGAATTTTGCTGAGGGGAATTCCCCTCTCCTCATTTTGCCCAGGGTGTTTGCACAGTGGCTGTTTGCATGCTCAGGACAGCTCACTCTAGGGATGGTGACTCATGCAGCCTTGGGAACTGTGGCTTGTGGCATGCTCTGGAAGCCGTCGATCCTCCACGGTTCTGCCCCATCCCGAGCTACGAGGATGGATGGGTTTTGTGGGAGTTTGTCAGCTCTCCTGTTCCGTGCCGTTGCGGTGCCTAAGCCGCCCTGTTGTGTTTCTGTCTGCAGGCAGCTCTGGGAGATGGAGCTGGATAAGCTGAAGAACCAGCACAATGAGATCAACAGGAACATTCTTGAGGAGACAGAACGGGCCTGGAAAGCAGAGGTTAGGAGGTGACTTCTCACCTGCAAAGCAGTTGTTGAAGAGGGTCTTTCTGAGATCCCACATGGTTAATGAGGAATTAGGAGCAGTTGAGGATGAGGCTAAGTGCCCCTCTTTGTGGGACAAGAGAGGGGATAAACAAGTACCAGTGCAGTAAACACGAGGCAGGAGCGGTGCCTCAGTGCACTTGGTATGGTGCTTAGTGAAGAGAGTACACCCTGGCAGCGAGAAACAAGGGGGTACAGAAACTGCTCTTCACGTGGGGCTTCCCTCTGCTAGATCCTGTCCCTGGAGAGCCGAAAGGAGCTGCTGGTGTTGAAACTAGAAGAAGCTGAAAAAGAAGCAGAGCTGCACCTCACCTACCTCAAGTGAGTCCGTGCCCATCTCCTCTTCCTCTAGTTACCCTGCAGGTTGGACTGGCATAGTTCAAGGTTTCCTGTGGCTTTCTTTTTAAAATACTGTGATTCAGTAATGCTGCAAAACAAGGGTTTGTGGGGCTGTGCTTATTCCCTGTGACTGTTCGTCTGCTGAACGTGTGCCGTGCTCTAGAGCAAGCGCTGTCAGCATGGCATTGGCTGTGGTGTCCATCTCTCTGTCCACCAGATCAGTCCGCACTCTGGTAGCACTGCGTGCTCTCCTCTTGCGGGGTTTCTCGATGGCGTGTGAGCCCTTCTTCCTGCCCAGTGGGAGGAGAGGAGCCCTGATGGGGGAAGGCGGGAGGGTGGGGGGTGTTAGTTGCTCCTGCTTTGCTGCCGGTGAGAGCGCAGTTGCAAGTGGGAAAGTGTAGTTGTGCTTGCAGGTCTGCACCGCCCACGCTGGAGACAATGAGGCCAAAGCAGGAGTGGGAGATGAGGCTGAACAGGATACGAATGACCAAGGAAAGTGTCCGAGTAAGTTCGTGCCACATGGGTATAAAAGCAGCGTGTTGGATTAATTGCAGAGGCAGTTATTCTGTTTCTCTCTCTGGGTTCTTTTGCATTTTCTTGACTCCTGTGGAACCAAACTGTGTCCACTTTGGGGCTTGCAACCATTCCAGGACTGAGAATGCTCTGTCTGGGCAGAGGAATCTGTGTGTTCTAGCCATGCGGTGCCCAAAATTTCCTCAGGCAAAGGCTTTGATAAATGCGTCTGTTTTCTTTCCTCTCTGCTAGGATCAGTTCAATGACCACATTCAGATGGTGAGAAACGGAACAAAGCTGAGCAGCCTCCCACAGATCCCGACCCCGACGCTGCCACCTCCGCCCTCCGAAGTGAGTGCCTCTCCAGCCTGACAAACCCCAGCTGTCACTGCTGGGAGGCCCTGGGGACAGCCTGCCACTGGCCCGTTGCTGGCACTACCTGAATGGGTGTTGAAGGAGGCTGTGCGAGATTGTGATTTCTGGAGCCCTCTGCTTGTCCCCTGTCTGGGCTTACCTGCTGCCCCTGGGGAGGAAGGG